AAAAAAAAAAAAAAAAAGGCTTGAGGCACAAGAATTGCTTGAAGCCGGGAGGTTGCAGTGAGCCAACACTGCTCCATTGCACTCCTGCCTGGGTGACAGAGACTGTCTCAAAAAATTTTTTATTTTTTCAATTAAAAAGACTATAATGGTAATAAGAAATGACACAAAGTTCTCCCTGGTGTGTATGTATTTATTTTTCTTTTTTTTTTTGAGATGGAGGCTAGAGTGTAGTGGCACAATATCAGCTCACTGTAACCTCCTCCTACTGGGTTCAAGCAATTCTCCTGCCTCAGCCTCCCATGTAGCTGGAATTACAGGTGCCTGCCACCGCTCCTGGCTAATTTTTGTATTTTTACAAAACACAAAAGAGCTGGGGTTTTGCCATCTTGGCCAGGCTGGTCTCGGACTCCTGAATTTGTGATCTATCTGCCTCAGCCTGCACCTGGCCATATGTATTTATTTATATGTTTTTCCTTTTTGTAGAGATAGGGTCTCACTAAGTTGCTCAGGCTGGTCTCAAACTCCTGGCCTCAAGTGATCCTCCACCTGCTTCAGCCTCCCAAAGAGCTGGGATGACAGGCATGAGTCACAGTGCCTGGTCAATATCTATATAATCTTAAAATCCTTATAGACTTAGCAGAGAGTTATTATGCCCATTTTTCAATTGACAAAACAGGCACAGAGAGGTTAGGCCACTTGCCCAAGGTCACACTGCGTTTCTTATTTGCATTTTTTTGGTGTATTTTTATTTTTTATTGTATTAGAAAATGATTGAGGCCAGGCACAGCGGCCCACAATAATCCTAGCACTTTGGGAGGCCAAGGCAGGTGGATTGCCTGAGCTCAAGAGTTCCAGACAAGGCTGGGCAACATGGTGAAACTCCTTCCCTATTAAAATACAATTAGCTGGGCTTGGTAGTGCATGCCTATAGTCCCAGCTACCCAGGAGGCTGAGGCAGGAGAATCACTTGAATCTGGGGGGTGGAGGTTGCAGTGAACCGAGATCACACCACTGCACTCCAGCATGGGCATCAGAGCAGTCAGGAGTCACCAAACAATAACCTACACCTTCACACCCAGCTGCGTGGGCCTGAGAGAACAAAGGTGTGGAATAGCACGGGAATGAGGAAGTTCATCCTCATGCTTTATGTTCAGAGCAACGTGTTCCAGAGAAAGGATAAGCAGAGTATACAGCATGTACTCCTGGTGTAAGAAAAGAATAATGTGGCCAGGCGCGGAGGCTCACGCCTGTAATCCCAGCACTTTGAGAGGCCGAGGTGGGCGGATCACTTGAGGTCGGGAGTATGAGACCAGCCTGACCAACATGGTGAAACTGTCTCTACCAAAAATACAAAATTAGCCGGGGTGGTGGTGCACACCTGTAATTCCAGCTACTCAGGAGGCTGAGGCAGGAGAATTGCTTGAACCCAGGAGGCAGAGGTTGCAGTGAGCTGAGATTGCACCACTGCACTATAGCCTGGGCAACAGAGTAAACCTCCACATCAAAAATAAATATATAAATAAATAAATCACGGAGTTTGAAAAATCAGACTCTGCCTCCTCTCCAGTAGCTGTGCTGTCAACAGAAAGTTCTCTCAGGTATGCGGGAGAGAAGATAAGTGCACGTTCTTTAAGGCCTAGATTTTTTTTTTTTTTTTTTTTTTTTTTTTTGACATGGAGTTTCACTCTGTCTCCCAGGCTGGAGTGCAATGGCTCACTGCAACCTCTGCCTCCCGGGTTCAAGAGATTCTCCTGCCTCAGCCTCCCCAATAGCTGCAATTATTGGCTTGCACCACCACGCCTGGCTAATTTTTGTTATTTTTAGTAAAGACGGGGTTTCATCCTGATGGTCAGGCTGGTCTGGAACTCTTGACCTCGTGATCTGCCCACCTCAGCCTCCTAAAGTGCTGGAATTATAGGCGTGAGGCACCTTGCCCGGCCAGCCGGCCTAGATTTTCATAGAAAATATAGATAGATGCTTCTTGTTGTGTTGTGCCATTTTTAGTTTTTTTTAGTTTTTAGTTTTTTAGATGGAGTCTTGCTCTGTCACTCAAGCTGGAGTGCAGTGGCACAATCTTGGCTCACTGCAACCTCCACCTTCCAGGCTCAAGCGATTCTCCTGCCTCAGCCTTCCGAGTAGCTGGGATTAATTTTTGTATTTTTAGTAGAGAAAGGATTTTACCATGTTGTCCAGGCTGGTCTCAAACTCCTGACCTCAGGTGATTCACCCCCCTCGGCCTCCCAAAGTGTTGGGATTGCACAAGTGAGCCACGCGCCTGGCCCATTTTTAGTTTTTAGTGGAATTTTGGTGCATTGAGATTTCTTTTTTTTTATTTTTATTTTCTCTTTCTTTTTTTTTTTTGTTGGGGGGACGGAGTTTCGCTGTTGTTACCCAGGCTGGAGTGCAATGGCGTGATCTCGGCTCACCGCAACCTCCGCCTCCCGGGTTCAGGCAATTCTCCTGCCTCAACCTCCTGAGTAGCTGGGATTNAAAAAAAAAAAAAAAAAAAAAGAAAAAGGAAAATGTATTTCCTGCAGCATCTCAGGAAAGGCACAGGAGAGGCTGGGAACACTGGTTCCTGGTTCGGGGGTGTGAAATCGGATGGCAGGGTGGGAGGGAGGACTTTCACTCTGCACCCTTTCCAGTTTTGTATTGTGATTACACAGTCAAAAAATAAAACTGAACATTTAGAAATTGTGTTTATGCTTATGTAAGCACAGACTCACTGTCTTGGAAGAAGCACAAAAATGTTTTTTTTAAAAAAAAAAGGAAAAAAAGGCCAGGTGCAGTAGCTCATGCCTATACCACCAGCACTTTGGGAGGCTGAGGTGGGCGGATCACTTGAGGTCAGGAGTTTGAGGCCATTCTGGGCCAACATAATTAAACCCCATCTCCAGTAAAAATACAAAAGTTAGCCGGGCATGGTGGTACGTGCCTATAATCCCAGCTACTAGGGAAGCTTGACCTTCCCTAGGGAATCTCAGCTACTCCTGAAATCGATTGAATCTGGGAGGCTGGGGTTGCAGTGAGCAGAGGTCGCACCACTGCACTCCAGCTTGGGTGACAGAGCGAGACTTTCAAAAAACAAAACAAAACAGAAACAAAAACGTGTGGCCCCTTTTACCACTAAGATTTTCCCCTCACTATGTGCCCCACTCCTCACCCTGGGTAGGTTCCTTGGTCGTGTTTTTTGTGAAGTTCCCAGACTGTACATACCTTAAGGCATTGTGCACTTTTGCACTTGTGACACCTTTGTATGAAGTTCACAGGGAGCTGGTGTATAATGGAGACTTGGGGGTGGGGATGGCAACCCTGGGGAGTTGTGACACCAATGAGGTCAGTTCTGCAGTAAATGTCACCTTGGTGCCTGGGATACTTTGGTAAACATAAATAGCTCTCATATTCCAGGGGTCACCTCCTGATGCGGGTGGCATCTCCTGGCTTAATGTGGCTGCTCTTCAAAATGACACCATATTCTCTTTGGGGAAAAGCCCTCAAGACTTGTCCAGCAATTGCCACTGGCTATATACGTGTGGCTGCTAAGCAACTGAAGTGTGGCAGGAGCAACTGAGGAACCGATTCCAATTTTATTGAATTTGTAAGATGTTTAAAGGTATATAGAACTTTCCAGTCATTACATAAAGTTCTCTTGGCCTGACAGGGCTGCCCCTAGACTGTTTTCAGCGCTTAAACTGTTTCAGTGGGAAGGGAAAGCAACTATTAGCTTGACATTTTTTTTTTTGGAGACAGAGCAAAACTCTGCCACCCAGGCTGGAGTGCAACCTCCACCTCCCAGGTTCAAGTGATTCTCATGTATCAGCCTCCTGAGTAGCTGGGATTACAGGCGCGCACCACCACGCCTGGCTAATTTCTTGTATTTTTAGTAGAGATGGGGTTTTCACCATGTTGACCAGGCCGGTCTCAAGCTCCTGACCTCAGGTGATCCACCTGCCTTGGCCTCCCAGAGTGCTGGGATTACACGCAGGGGCCACTATGCCTGGTCCAGACTGACTTTTACAGTTTTTTTTCTTGAGACAGGGTTTCACTTTGTCATCCAGGCTGGAGGGCAATGGCACAAACACAGCTCACTGGGTTATCCACTTCTTGGGCTCAAGTGATCCTCCTGCCTCAGTCACATAAATAGCTGGGCACATAGGTGTACACTGCCACCCCCAACTGAATTTTTATTTTTTGTAGACATGGGGTTTCACAGTGTTGCCTAGGTTGGTCTCAAACTCCTGAGCTCAAGTGATCTGCCCACCTTGGTCACCCAAAGTGCTGTGGTGACAGCCCTGAGCCCTGCTCCTGGCCTGTATACAATGGTTCCACTTGAGAACATGTTGCAGCAAAGCATGGATACACTGTTTTAAGCCTGAGTAATTACTTACCTTATAATAAAACCAGCTCTTTAAAAAAAGTTACAAAGTAAAAGCAGCTTCAGTGGCCTACAAATAAAACCAAGGCAGAAAATGGGTTTTCTCTAGGGTGGGGCTAGTCCTGGGCAGGGCCTGGAGTTCTGGTTCAGCCAGGCCTTCAGGACTTGCAACTAGTTCTAGCAGGAAAGGAGTGATAAGGAATTTAGAGGCCAGACCCTGGGTTGCCCCCTTGGCCCCAGAGCAAAGGTCTGTTGAAAAAGCCAGGGGCCCCGAAGAAAGGGAGAGTTAGGAACCAGACCCCGCCTCCCCCAACCTTTCCTTTGACTCCAACCTCCATCAAAAAATGATCCAAGGCCAGTGTGCTTGGGTCTCTGGTTGTTTGGACCCAGAATCTGGGTAGAAGTTCTCCAACCCACTTCCAGCTCAGGGAGCCTTATCTTTCCCTTGCAGGGTACTTGCCTCCAGCCCATCCCACCCTCCCACCTTGACTGCACCTGGAGGGATGCCCAGGTCCTCACCCCACCCCCCAAACCAGCAGAACCCTCAAACAGAGTCGCAAGACTGCTCCCCTGAGGTTTGGCATCAGTCTTTAATGCTGTCGCACTGCATTGACAAGTCACACACTTTGGTCTCATGTTGGCAGTGGCAACTTACAATGAGTCGAAAGGTCTGAGCACCCAACTGGTGTTGAGGGAACTGACATTTGTTCCAACTCCCCTCCCTCCTCAAGATTTCTTCAGAATTCCATTATGGCCCTGTACAGAGAGCAGTGGCTGCTGGGGACTAGTTTTATTTGAGTGTACACCGACTATACACGGAATTAATTATAAAAACATATTTACAGACGTTCCACAGTGCTCCTGTAATCAGAAGCAAAGACCCTTTTATCAAAAGGGATTATATCTAGGGCTGTGCAAAATTCAAAAGGATCAGATCCCTTTGAAAGAGTCCAGAGTCCATGAAACAAAAAATTACCTAGACCACTGGTATGGTCTGACACTGGTATGCCCAGGTGTGACAAGATTGCCTTACAGAAATGGAAAATGTGACCCATAGTAAGCACATTCAGCTTCCCTACAGCCAGAGGTCCAGAGGGTCCCTTGCTGGGGCTAGGCTCCCAGACCCTCGAGTGAGAGGTGGCTGCACTTACTGGAGTCACTTGCTGGAGACTGGCTCCCTTGGTCCTACTGGAACAAGAGGTATTGCTTGGGGACGCCAGCCAGGCAGTTCTGCAGGAATAGTTTAGAGGTTCTCAATTTGAGATGGCCAAAGAGAAGACAGGATTCTTCAGGGGAAGAATAAGACATGTGAGACAAATACAGAATAAATCACAAACTGATCACACAACAGAGACAGAGGAGTGTACAAGGTCTGGCAGCAGCTTGACACCATCTACCAGCCCGAAGCAAAGAGACACAGGCATCAAGTCCAGCTGCTGGTCTGCCTCTCAACCCTGGACAGGGACTGGAGGAGGAGGAGGATGTGGGCCCCTCCTGGGAGGACTGCCGGACCCAGTGGGGGAGACTGGAATGCCTTTTCCTGCTGTTCCCACCACCTGATGCCCTATCGCTCGAAAAACCACTTAAGTCTAGTGTACGACTTTGAAAGATTGTAATATATGCTCTGGAAGACATTCAGCAGTATGAAAACCCTCCCTGGGCCCTCCGCCCTCTCATGTTCCACACTGGTAGAAAGGTCCAGAAATCCTTGAGCTCTGGAAAGGTCCCTAGTCAGTCTGGGGAGCTCAGGTAGCTATATAGGAAGAACCTTCTCAAGTGCGGATCTTGATGTCTGGGGAATCCTTTCGGGGAAGATCACTTCAAACTCAATAATGAGGTCCCCACGTTTCTCGGGCGTTTTGGGGAGGGGGAGGCCTTCTCCAGGAACTTTTCGACGCATGCCAGGCCTGATGACATCTTTGAATACGACGGGTATGGTCCTGCCGTCCAGAGTGGGGACGTTCACTGTGCAGCCACACAGAGCCTTGGAAAGCAAAGGGACAGCATTAGATGGAAGCTGGCTCAAGAGGCTCAGCTCTTGCCCAGAGACCATCTGGCATAGAGTAAGACGAATCAGTCCTGTGCAGCCAAGACCTGGTCCCCAGATCTACACGTCACCACCATGAAAGCTCCAGGACAGCACCCTCGTCAGTCCTGTTCACTTTGTGCCCCAAACCTGGCACACACCACACGCACCAACACATGTGCTCAGCAAATAGTTATCTGCTTCAAAGAGCAGCTATCGCCCTCTACAGACACCGCCCCACCTGGCACCTTACCTCCCGGAGGCTGATCCTGGCAGGATAAATGACATCAGAGCCATCTCTCTTAAAGATATTGTGTGGCTTGTCCTTTAAAACAAAGACAATATCAGCTGGAATGTTGTTGGAGGTCTGGTCTCCTTCCTTGGGGAATGTGATTTTGGTCCCTTCTTTCCACCCCTTCTTCACTTCGATGGTCAGGATTTTGTCTTCGTTTCGAATGCTCTTTCCATCGGGGTTTAGCCGCTTGTGGGAGATTTTCATCTTCTTGGTGCAGCCGCTGTAGATCTCTTCAAGGGAGACCCGAAGGTCGTGGGTGACTGGGGGATCTTGCTTCTTTCGCGTGGGCTCTTGGGCAGGGCGGGAGCGGCCAAAGTTCATGTTGGTGAAGCCACCCATGCCCATAGGGAAGCCAGAGAATGGGTCGTCAATGTCCATGCCTTCCTCGCCGTTCCGCTGCCCAAAAAAGGTGTCAAAGGGATTTCTACCACCGAAGAATTCAGCGAACATGGCATGAGGGTCTCCATGGAATGTGTAGCTGAAAGAGGTACCATTGGCACCACCACCGCTACCGCCACTGGGGCCGCTGCCCTTTAGCCCTAAAAAGCAGAATTGGAAGCAGTCAGATGGCTGAACAGCAGCCTCTCTCAAGGAGCTTCCCTTTTCGGGGGGGGGGGGAAGCTTGGAAGCCATGGGGGAGGAACTTTTTTTAGCCTGCCAGGGGAGAGCAAGGAAGAACCCCAGGCTTCTACTTCTCACTGCAGCAGCAGAGACGCCCCCCCCCCATACTTCCGTGTAGTGTGACAGTGGCAAAAGACTCATGCAGTTAGGTGTCCACCTCCAGGTGCCACCCATGCCCTGCCACCCCTGGACTGACTCATCCTCCCGGCTATGTCACCAAGAGATGGCTAAAGACACATGGTCCAGGCTGGGATTTCGGTGTTTACTCCCGACACTTTAGGGCAACTGACGGGAAGAGTAAAAATAAGGAAAAAAAAAAAATAGATGGAGAGTTTTTGAATCCTCACACACTAGCATTCACTGCCACCATGCTTGCATACAAAGTCAGTTCACTCCTCCAAATTAAGCCCAGAATCTAGCCTGAGTCATCAACCAGCACATGGACAAAAAGCCCCGCTCTCTGCACCTGGACGGCCGCACTGGGCGCCGCTGCCTCCTGCGTGCCGGGCCGGGGCCAGGTCATGGCTTCCCAGGGATTATCCCAGCCCGGCCCGCAAGCCCGCGAGGGTCGACGCCCGCATTTGCAGCCCCGCGCCCGTAGCTGAGCCCCAGACGCCGCGCTGCAGACCCCGGCGGCCGAACCTACGTGAGCCCCGGCCCGCAGTGCGCCCCGCTGCGCCGTCCCCGTCCCCCGCCCTCCGGCTCCCACACGTCCCCCTGCACCGCACCCCGGGGCTGCTCGGGGCCGCGGGAGGACGCGCCCAGGGAGGGGCAGCCCCAGACTTGCTAGAAGCTTCTGGGCGAGCGGCAGGGCCAAGGCTCCTCCTCCCACCCCACGGCCACCAATCCGAGGGCGGAGGCCCGCGCGGACCGAGGGCGGGGCAGTTTGGCCCCCGGGCCCTGGGCGTCCTCCCCGGGGGGCCGCCGAGAGCAGCCGGCGTGCCTCGGTTTCCCCGCCTGTCAAACGGCGGGGCCGCGTCCACGCACCTTCCTCCCCGTAGCGGTCGAAGATCTCGCGCTTGCGCGGGTCGCTGAGCACGTCGTAGGCCTCGGCGATCTCCTTGAACTTCTCCTCGGCGCCGGGCTCCTTGTTCTTGTCCGGGTGGTAGCGCAGCGCCTGGCGACGGTAGGCCCGCTTGATCTCCTCGTCCGACGCGCCGCGGGCCAGGCCCAGCGTCTGGTAGTAGTCTTTGCCCATGGCCCCCGCCTGCGGCCCGCCGCCCTACAGTTGCCGTATCCCGGCTCCGCCGCCGCCCGGTCCCGGACTCTATATACCCGTCCGGCGGAAGCTTCCAGAGCCCGCCAGCCCCCTCCAGAACCTTCCGCCCCGCCCCCCCCAGCCGGGTCGGCCAATCGCCGCCGCCCAGTCCGCGATACGCAACATCCGGAGCGGGGCCTCAGCGTCAACGGCCGCCCGCGCGGAGCCACACCCCCTCCCGCTCCGCCGTCGGCAACGCCTCCCCGCGGCGCGCACCCAGGTCGGTCGGAGGAGGCCCCGCCCACCTTCCGGGACGAGCCAATGGTGGCCTTCTTTCGCTCTCTACGCGGCCCCAGCGACCCTGCGCCCCGCCCTCCGCCTGAGTCAGTGGGTCCGGAGCCACGACAAAGGTGCGGTTCGGGAAGGGGTGGGGCCTGGGGCTACCCCGTCCTTTCCCTAGGAGGTGATGAACTTGCACGCTCTTGTCTCGCTGAGCCCGCTGTGGGCTCCCTCCGGGTGAAGCTGCACGAACTGCCTGTGTCTGCCTAACTCAGGAGCCCCCTTTTATTTGTAATATGGAAATAAAAGAACCCACCAGGCTGGGCGCGGGGCCTCACGCCGGTAATCCCATCACTTTCTGAGGCCAAGACGGGAGGATCGCTTGAGCCTAGGAGTTGGAGACCAGCCTAGGCAACATAAGGAGACTCTGTTTAAAATGACCAAAAGGCCGCGCGCGGTGGCTCACGCCTGTAATCCCAGCACTTTGGGTGGATCGCCTGAGGTTAGGAGTTCGAAACCAGCCTGGCCAACATGGTGATACCCTGTCTCTCCTAAAAATAAAAAATTAGCCGGGCGTGGTGGTACACACCTGTAATCCCAGTTACTTGGGAGGCTGAGGCCTGAGAATAGCTTGAACCCGGGAGGCAGAGGTTGCAGTGAGCCAAGATCAGCCATTGCACTCCAGCCTGGGCAATTGAGCAAAACTCCATCTCAAAAAAAAAAAAAAAAAAAAAAAAAAAAGGCCGGCACTTTCTGTAATCCCAGCACTTTGGGAAGTGGAGGCAGGCAGATCACAAGGTCAAGAGATCGAGACCATCCCGGCCAACGTGGTAAACCCCGTCTCTACTAAAAATACAAAAAAATTAGCCAGGCCTGGTGGCACGCACCTGTCATCTCAGCTACTTGGGAGGGTGAGGCAGGAGAACTGCTTGAACCCGGGAGGCTGAGGTTGCAGTGAGCCAAGATCGGGCCACTGCACTCCAGCCTGGCGACAGAGCAAGACTCCCTCTCAAAACAAAAAACAAAACAAAAAGACAAAAAACCAACATATGAGAAAATAAAAATGAACAAAGAACCCACCAGCACTATTCTCCCAGCTGTAGGGAGAAGGCCGTTGTGACGGAGCCGGCTTCTGTTCTCACCTCCTAAAGCAAGGTGAGGATCCGGACGAAAGCTCACCTCCCAAGGTCCTCCCAGTTCCACCCCCTTCACTTTATTGTCTTCTCAAGAGGACTTGCTGCTAAATTTGAAATCATCTTGTTCCTTGGCATGCGTCCTCCCTCCCAGTCTGAGATTGCCACCTGGGCAGGGGCCATATCCTGTCTGCACACGGTCACCAAGGCCTGGAACACAGAGCCTCGTAAATATTCCCCGTTCTTAAGCGATTCTCTTTCTCTTCCCCCTACCTTTATGATTTGGGGGACATAGGTGTGTCACACACCTTTCAAGGCCTCTGTTTACTCAGTTGTAGGCAACGTGATCCCATTTGGCTCTGAAAGTCTGGGGTGCTTTGGTCAAGGACAAAGCTGATGGGAAGAGGAGGCTCAGAACACCGGGGAAGGGCCCAAGGATGTGGGGGACGTTCCTGGAAGAACTGCCTGGGAGGGTCAGGGCCATGTAACACTGGCTCTGGAACCAGACAGCCAGGCTTCATTCCTGGCTCCAGCACTTCCTGGCTGGGTGACCTGGGGTTAGTTACTTAGCCATTGCTGGCCTCAGCCTCCTCATCTGTACAGTGAGGATAGCAGTCATACCCACATCATAAGGGCTTTGAAGTTTACATGAGTCAATATTTGCAAAGTGCTCAGGACAGGCATGGCACAAAGGAAGCATTGCCAGAGGGGTGACAAACCATTTTGCTTAGCGGTGGGCTCTTCAGCCATCACCCTCTTCCTGGCAGCATCACAGCTAAAAGCTTCCAGTGACGGCTGTGCCTGGGTAGACAGGAACTCCTGAGGAAAAAGACCATGGGACAGCCTGCCTCTGCTGCCCATCAGGCGGAGCTGGCTCTCCCTGCCCACACAGAGACCTGCGAGGTAACCACATCAGCAAGAACTCTGGACTAGAACTGGACAACCAGGCAGGATGGGGCTGAAATTCCCTAGACATTGATAAGTGTACTTGAGCAGGGGTCCTGAACCAATCATGGGGAGAGAGAACAACATATATATATATTTTCCCCCGAGAAGGAGTCTTGATCATGGCACAGGCTAGAGTGCAATGCCATGATCTTGGCTCACTGCAACCTCTGCCTCCCGGGTTTGAGTGCTTCTCCTGCCTCAGCCTCCCAGGTAGCTGGGATTACAGGCACGTGCCACCACATCCTGCTAATTTTTGTATTTTTAGTAGAGACGGGGTTTCACCATGTTGGCTGGGCTGGTCTCAAACTTTTGACCTGGTGATCCGCCTGCCTCAACTTCCCAAAGTTATGGGATTACAGG